AGTCTCGCGCGTCCCCACCCACCGCGGGCCACCCCCACCGCGAGCCAGCCTGGGGATAAAGTGGCGGCGCAGACGCCGCGCCCTGTCGCTACAGAGCGGGCAGCGCGCAGCTCGGCCGGGCCCTGACCCGCCTCAGACTAGGACCCGTGGCACTCCGGGAACGCGACAGCGGCGCTCGTGGCCCCGGTAACTGCCTCCCGGTCCCCGTCCCAGCCTGCAAGTGCCGTCACCAGGGGTGGGAAGCAGCCTCGGGGTCCTCGGCCCGCTCGGCGTGGGCTCCCACACCCGTTGTGCGCGCGTGTGTGTACACCAGTGTGTGCGCGCGCGCCCTCCCTGCTCCCTCGCACCAACCCCCAAACCAACTTATCCGCATCAAGTCCATCTTCCCACTCCTCGCCGCCCCCGTGCAGAAAACCATTCGAAGTCGCCTGGTTTTTCCGGTGGCATTTCCAGTGACAGCTGCGGGGCTCCATTCTCTGAGCGGTCGGAGAAAGGCAGGAAGCAAAGTTTGTCAGGAGCCGCGGGGTGACCTTACCTCAGGGACCCGCATTTGTGCGTGTGAGAGCGGCCTCGGTGTGTCCGGAGCGTTTCCCAGTTTTCTGGGCAGTGGGTGCTGGGCTCCCTGCCCCTCCCTTCTCCAAGCCTCTCTAGCGATTTGTTTAGGAAAAGTGATGACACCAACTAGTCGTGAAGGATTGCAGGCGCTTGTTCTCCTCCCTGGGGAGGGAGGGGAGCCCCGGAGAGCTTGTCAGTGAGAGCTGGAAGCAGGCTCCCGGGCTCAGCAGCCCTAAAGCCTGAAAGGCAGGATCTGGGGGCCGGGCGCGGTGTAGGGGACAGGGGCTCAGGCTGCTTGATGCCTCGCTGTGACCGCGGCGATGAGGGAACAGCCCTTATTTGCCTGGCTCTGATTCTCCAGGCTGTCGTGGTTGTGGAATGCAAGAGCCAGGATATGATGGAAACAGGTTCGTCCACCCGGCATCTTTAGAATTTCAGGCAGAGGAATTAATGAGAGCACCATCACTTCATTATTGTTCCCCCTTGAAACTTCCTGGGGGGTTTGAAGATGGCTGGGTTTTCTTGCAGCTGGTCTTTATATCCACAGAGCTGACTATAATTTCCACTTGATTACAGCTAAAATATTCTTTAAGATGAAGTTTCCTGAAATGATTTAAAATAAACACAGATGGGAAGGGGGGAAAGCTGTAATGAGGCACTTAAAAATAAAGTGAGCATTTTCTTAAGAACAAATGGGATTTTTCAGAGTTGGAGAGATTGCAAGAAATATATATATTTTTTAAATCTTTGAAAGGGAGGGGTTTTTTTTAACTGCTTTAAAAAAAAAAGTGTTACTGACTCTGAATGAGGCTTTTCTCTCTTATTTCTCTGTGTGTGTTTTTTTTTTTTTTTCCATGTTTCTTACTTTGGACTACATCCTCCTTTCTTCCAAGGACTTGGAGATCCTTTCGGAATTATGCCCGAGGAAAGTTCTCCCAAGCGGACACCGCAGAACATTAGGTACCAGGACCTCCCTCACTTGGTCAATGCCGATGGACAGTACCTCTTCTGCAAATACTGGAAACCCGCAGGCACTCCCAAGTAAGTCTCCCCGAAATGCATGGGCACCTTCACACCTACCTCTCTTCCTTTTCATGTAGCATCTCCTGCAGGGCCACCATCTCCATGACCTACTTCACATGCCACTTTAACATTAAGCACAGCCATGTTAACAAAGCTGACATGTTTACTTTATCTTTTTTTTTTTTTAATTAAGAAGCAGGAGTTATATTTTTGTTATAACAACTAGGATAAGGATTCTACCGTATGGCAGTTAACAAAAATTCCACATGAATTTATTTTTTGTAATGGAATTGATTTCCTGTTGCACAGGAATTTCTTTAAAATTAAATCCAACAATTACAGAAAACCACCTAATCAGATAAGAAAATCAATTATATTTATATGTAGTAACCTTTGTTCTCTTTTCCTGTTTGATTATGAGCTTCAGAAGGTACCATACGTTAACTAGGAAGCAAGGGGTCTGGGTATTTCCTTCTGATTTCTTGCCAGCTCAATTACTTTCTACATTTTCCATCAAGATTGTCTTGTTATTAGAAACAGGCATTAGGATTACACACAATACGACAGCTGGTCTCCTGCTGCTCCTCTTCTCTTGTATGAAACAACTCTGCTTGTTTGTGTTATGTAGAGAAAGAAATTATTTGTGGTAACCAATTGGCCTAGTAATGAGTGAACAGTTTCTGTTCCATGGACATTTTACCTGCTTCTTCCAAGGCCTCATGCCTCCTGAGGGGACATAGTGTGATATGATTATGTCTCCCTTTGGGTTTTAGTAATTATTCAACCCTAGCACAGGTATAAAATGTTTCCTATATCTTCAACAAGGTGTATACTCCAGGTAGCTGCACATTAAAAAACCAGAGCTAAGGACTTTTAAAGGTCTGGCTTAAACTCATAGCTTCAAGGCAGCTATACAAACTGGCTATCATAATGGGTTGTTAATTGTTTCCACCAGTTTTAGCAATATCTTTCTTAAAAATTTCTTCTAGAAATGTGTCAGATGGAGGAAGAGAGGGTCGCCAAGCCTTATCTTTATGCTCCATCTGACTTATTCTCCACTCTGACTTAACTGGCTGTAAAATTGCATATTCTTGGTTTAATTTTTAACAACTTAGTGGTATATGGTGAGTTATTTTTTAATATATAAAAAGAGGACAAAGAATTGAAAGTAGAAGTTCTTAATGTCCAAGTCTCAGACTCTGGGTGCTTTCTCAGTTGAATTGGAAGGTTGTCCTAATTCAAGGTCAGTGAAAGAAAGAGGGCCGACAGTCCTAAAATGGAGGCAGGGTGGTGGGTGAGTGAGTTGGGAAGAGCTGTGAGTGGTTTTCACAGTCTCCAGGTTGATGCTGCCTTGCGGGGAGCCCTTTGCTGCTTCACTTTTTTTCTGTTAGAGATGGCAACCCAATAGTTTAGACAGAGCTGTCTCTCAGAAGTCAATGTTTGTGTGTGAAGTTGATGGTAATAAGAATAGGGTAAATGATTGAGGCTGTTGGGCCCTGGGCTTTGGAAGAGAAATGTTTCTGGGGAGATTAGGGGACAGCCAAGGTCACAGGGCCAGCATTCTAACTCAGGTAGCCTGGCCCCAGCTCCAGAGCCCACTGGGAGACCACCCACCTCCAGGGGCTCTGTCTCTATTCCCTGGAGATGATGCAGATCAATAAATTCCCTTTTGGGGTCGGGGCACCCCTCTGTCAGGGATCTTTAAAACATTTCACAATCATTGTGGATCAGTGAGAAAGTCCTAGAGGCCCGCTGTGGTGACCTATGTTAACCCTGTGCTTGCTGCATCTTGGGGAGGGCTGGGGGTCCTGGAAAAAGGATGATGGCAGCTAGAGAATGAGGAGGAGGCAGTGAGGGCCTCAGGGCAGAGGTTTATGATATCTGGTACAAAGCATCTCCTTATCTTAATAACTGAGACCAGGTGCTTTGTTTCAGCTGCTGAGCAAGCCTGCCCTCTTACTTGGGCTGGGCTATCTCTGATATTGCATTTTAACATTGCTGCCTGCTGCTTTTAGGAAGGGAGAGGGGACCACAGGTCACCAATGGCTACAGCCTATCCCCTCCAGGGACTGTCCTCCAGGTCTTTCCCTCCATTTCAGCTCAGGGTCTTCCCTACTCTACCATCTACGCACAGGCGAACATCACCTTCTCACTCGTCCACCTGCTCCTTTTAGTTTGCTTGTTTATTTATCTTTCTCATAGAGGCCCTTGGGACTTAAGAAGCCACCCCAAGAGGCCATCTTACAGTGAGGGGTCTGTGCCTGCCTCCATTAATTGTCACTCGTTTGGGTTGTTTTTCTGGTTAACAAGTTGCCTCCAGCTTCTTGGGCCTCCCCAGAGTACCTCTTAGAACATTCTGCCCTCAGGAGACTTGCTGTGCTCTAAGACTGGCTCTGTAGGTGGCTCAGAGCAACATTGGGTTACAGGTGTCAGCCATGGCTGAGAAACTGACTGAAATTGCTTACGGAAACAGATTATGTCTTTATAAACGCCAGCCTCTTCACAACAGATCCTAAGAAAGAAGCAAGCATTTCTTGGTATAGTTGTTACAATGTGTGTCCAAGCACAAAGTTGTTTTTAATATAGCAGGCCAGAGGCTCAAGATTTAGTCATTATGAACCAGAGATTTTAAATCTACCTCTGGCAATACCAAGGCAAATTCATGTTCATGTAGTAGCATGGCATTTATGATAATAACAAACATTAGACTTAAGATATAGAAGAATTATCTCATATTAATTGAGTATCAAGTATGTTATCACGTATGTTCTGAGGAGGTCTGTACAAACATGATCTTATTTTATCTTTATATCAACTCGTGAGACAAATATTATTATTGCCCAAGATGACCAGCCAGCAGTCACGGATTTAGTCCAGATTTTTCTAGCTCCAAGTAAATTGCTCTTCTTAATTGTCTTATAAATAGTGTCTTGATAAATTCTTACATATTTTTGTTGGTAAAGAGTAATAGAATGATCGATTCTCCCTAATTATTTGCTCATAATACATTTAAAGTGGAAAATAGCTTAAAGATATGTATCCATTCTGAAACAAAAAATCTTATGATGCCCTGGGGGACTGGTTGCCTTATCGAGATTCTTTGGTACTTTGGAATTTTGAAATGCTGGTTCTTCAGTAAATTTCCACTGATGGTATTGTCAGGGTAGTGGAGACTGGCCCAGGTGAGGGTTGAGTTGCTTTGCAGACTCTTATGACCTTGAGTAATATTTAGCACCTTTGAATTCAGTCCACTGAGTGGCCCTCAGTCCATTTAAAGAACAACTTTAAATTAATGTCTGAATATTACTTAGCTATCCTCAGAACAGTGAAGATGCTCCTGCTCCACGTGGTGAGTGACTGACTACATAACATTATCCGGAGGATGCCGGGAGTGGTCTGAAACAATACTCAGTTTGATTACTCGACTCCCAAAAAGTCCTCTTTTGATTCTGTCTGAACAGGAAGGCTGGAGAGCATGCTGTAATTATATGATTATACAGCTGCCACTCCTAGCACGGTTAGTTCCAGGTGTGGACCAGGTCACGTTCATCTGTTCATCAGTAAGGCCCAACATGAAGTAAATGAGTGTTGAATAAATACTTCGGTGCTCTTCATCTTTCTTTAAAGCTGATAACCTCCCTCACACCATGTGCACTTTGTATCTGGGTAGCTCTTCAACTCTAAAGAGCTGATAAGCTTTCCTTTCTGTATCTTCTGTTTGCGAGAACAACCAGTGTACTGAGGGAGCTGTTTCAACATGCAGTTGTCTCTCTGCTTGCAGATATCCTAATACAAACCCCTAGGGAGGCGAGCCTTCCCAACCCTCCCTGGAGAATTGCAAGTAACTCATCTTTGAAAGTTCCGTTTAGCATTTTGTTCAAAATTCTGCTACATTTATGGAGACCTTGTAGAACACAAGCCACTGGAATTCCTTCTCTAAACTTTGCTGGCTTTGCCCTCTTTTTCTTTCTTGCTGCCGACTTCAGTGATCTAGCTTTTTCATCCAGTAATTCTGCAGCCATGCCCTCACCATGGATGCCTCCTCTTATCTCTCTGGCTCCACCAGTCTCCTATGCTCCAGAGGTAGTCTGCTGCTGGTGTGGTTTTCTAGATTTTCCTCTTGGGGCTGGGAGTGGGGCACATCATGGGGGACGGACTAACAAGGGAGATGTGGCATCAGTTCTGGAACATCCCCAGGTTTTGAATGGTGGCCATTGTCAGTGGGCCTAGGGTCAGTAAGCCACGGGTCGCTGCTCCTTATTTCTTTCTCCCCAGAATGGGGCTCAGTGCACATCCCCTTCCTTTACCTTGTCCTTTCCTGGGTCACATCGATCCCTTTCTCCAAGAAATCTTCCCAACCTGAATTTGGAGTTTTGGGTTATGCCCTCTTAGGACACTTCCTCCCACTTACGAAAATTTACCTGGAAAAGAAGCAATTCCCCTAAACTGGGATATATTTAAATGTTAAAAAACATTCTTCTTCCTGCCACCCTCATAATGTGTTCCTCAGCCTCTAGCTATTTGGGTGTGGCACCTGTGGCTCCAGAAGATAAGGGGCCCTCCCAGCCAACTGGATCCAGACCTCAGAGATGCAGAGTCCTCACCATCTGGCTGGACATAATTTCTAAACTCACTGCCTTCTGGAGATTTTGTTTTCATAGATCAGAAGGGCATTTGATTCTTCTCTCCCTCTATTCTTCTCTCCCCCTTAGGCTTTCTAATCAGGTTGTAAGTTTGTTATGTTGTGCCTTTCTTTTCCCCAACCTAGTTGGCTCAGTGTTCTGGGCAACTGTGCTGCAGGTTCTGCTTATGTCCTTGAGTGTTTCTGCCTCCTGTGTGGCCCCTGCTGACTCTTATATGACTAGGTGTTACTCCATTACTTACCTTTGTTGATACATTCCCAGAGTTGACCAAATCGCATCTCTTATTTGTCCCTAAAAGAAGCCATTTTGAACTCCATTCTGCTGGTTTCCAAGGGTGCAAAGACAGCTGAGCTTCCCCCAAACCCAGCCCTTGGT